CTACTCCGTCCTAATGGCCCCCCCCTACTGTTTTTTCTTTTAACCCTAAACTAAGCTTACACTCCGCAAACTTCCATCCTCCCCAGCTAACTAAATCACTCATTTCAAATGAAAGAATTTAACCCAAGTTACTGATGGTGAACAATTAGAATTTATATAGAAGTATATCTCAAATGCATTTATTTTTAAAGATGGCATGTGTGGTTTGTCCTAAATCTGTATGCTATTGAGAATATTTCTGCCTTTTCAAAAACCCCTGACACCCATTGACCACTAAGGAAACTTCATTTCATATTTATTTTTTTCTCAAGTGACCTACCAGACTTAAATAGTTGAGTAGAAGTTACATTTTAGTTGTACATTTACATTTTTTTTTTTTTTACCCCCCAAATTAGATGCCAGAAATGGGTTGAGAACTGTCGGAGAGTTGATTTGGAAGATAAAACCCCGGACCAACTGAACAAGCAGTACAGGTTATGTGCTCAACACTTTGAGGATTCAATGATATGCAGGACTGTAAGTGCAGTTTCTCAGATGTGTCTTAGAAATACATGGTGGGCCAAAATTCAGAGTAGGGTTTGAGGAGTTAATAACTTTTTTACTAATAAACCAATTTCAATGATATTGCATACAGTGGATATTGTTTGACTAGGTACAGAAGGTGACATCTTTTAAAGGTTGGGTGAACGTGGCGACCAATTAATCTGGGAATTTCTTGAGATTTTCCACTCTCCGAACAGTTGTTCAGGAGGTCCATTGTAGCTCTGGCTGTATGGGCTGTAGCCCCATCCTGTTGAAAACACTTTTTGGATTTTTTTTCCTCTTTGGTCGAAATAATGGACCTGCCATTTTGAAAATTACCCGTTGTTCCTTTGTGAAGTTCCCAGGATGAATCTCCCAAGTCTGTTATATGTACCTGCAACAGATAAATTGAAGTACTAACAAATGCGTTCTTTACCTGTCAAATCCTACTCTGAATTTTGGCCCACTCTGTTGGAAGAGACTAGTGGCATTTTAAGTAATCTAGAATTCAAACTTTAAAACAATTCTGTTTTTCACTGTTCCTTAAATAAACCAATGTCAATGGCACAACTAAATAATAATAAAATTTAGCTTAGCGCACTCTGCTTGATATTCCAGAGTGGTATCACAAGTAGACAAATTGTTGGCATACTCTGAAAAATAGGAAAAACAAGAGATTATATGATTGTTTATTTTATTAAAAAAACTATTAAAACAAAATACAATTAAAAGGATAAAGTGCAAAGCGCACACTGGGCCCTCTAACCGCTCATTCAGTGCTCACAACTTACACTTCAGTGGACAGACTTTGTACTTTATATTTCCACATCTGCCAAAGGAACTCGTGCTCATAAAGGAGAGTCTGCAAATGTGACTGGCATCCAGTTTATTCCCTCACAGTGACAGATTGAGTGGTTGTCCCAGCAGAGAGCTGGCAGACTGAACGAGCGGTTACAGGGCCTTTGATTCTTCTTCTGTGCATTCTGTTTTGAAATACCATTGTGGGTATTAAGAATGTTTGTAGAATTGATTCATTAATCAGTTGCAACGTTGATATTTATTTAGGTATACGTTGAAATTTGGATGTTTTTAAAATTAGGAGCATTTTGTTTTTCATAAAATAATGTAAATAGAACCTTTGTTTTGCTTTTATTACACTGTTACTAAAAGGGAATCTCCAGTGCCAGGGAAAACGTATGTTTTCCTGGTACTGCAGGACCCTGTAGTGTCCCTCTCCCTCCCACCCCCCATCCCAAGTTGCTGAAGGTTTAAAACCCCTTCAGTGACTTACTGGAGTCCAGCACCGATGTTTCTCGGCGCTGGGTCAGGCTCTGCCTACTGTCCTCCTCCACCGCCCGTGGGGGAGACCCAATGGCCGCGCACCAATGGCTGCGCATGCGCATTAGACCTCCCCATAGGAAAGCATTATTCAGTGCTTTCCTATGGGGATTTCGGCGACAATGGAGGTCCTCACATAGCGTGAGGACTTACAGTGACGTTTAAAACACTTTTCATGTTCTAAGAACACGGAAGTCCATCTAGTGGCTGAATGATAGACAGCCACTAGAGGTTAACCCTGCAAGGTAAATATTGCAGTTTATGAAGTGGTGTGGGTGCCTGGAGTATCCCTTTTAAAGGAACACTACAGACATGTAGTCCTAATACTATAGTTTTAAATTAACTATTTAGGTACAAGCCCCATTCGTTCGCTTAGGAAACTTTTTTTCTTTCTATCCACGCCGCTGCTGGCCCCCACCTACATGGCTGAAAGGGACAGGGCCATAGACATCAGAACCACTACATTAAGCTGTGGTGACTATATAGTGTCCCTTTAATGGGACACTCCAGGCATCAATAAATGTTTTGCAAAATATGGTATAGGGATCGACCGATTATTGGTTTTACCGATCTTATCGGCGGATACCGATATTGCAGATAATACATACCAGGACTGCTGGACTCATTACAAGCCCGGCGGTCCTGGGGGGCCCGCAGCAAGCTCTCACTTACCTTCCCAGCAGCTCCCTGTGTAAATCTCGCAAGTCCCGCAGCCGTCAGAGCGTTGCCACGGGTTACCATGGCAACGCTCCGCGCGGCACGCAGGCTGTGAGATTTACACAGGGAGCTGCTGGGAAGGTAAATAACAGCTTGCTGCGGGTCCCCACTGCTCAGTACATGCCACTGGACCACCAGGGAATACCATAGCCCCCCTCCCTGGCCAGGTAATAAGCAGGGGTGGGGGAAAAAAAAAATATAAAACATATAAATATAAAAAAAAAAAATGCCCCCCTGCCCCCTATTTTACACAAATTACATCCCTTCAGAAACACACACACACACACACTCATTATACACTCACTCTGCATTCACTATATATACACAAATACATGTTGAATCCACCAGACAAACACACACAGCTCCCCTGTCTAAGCACACTGCATCCACTACATGTGGCATGTATATTTTGTGCATTTACCTTTTAGAAATAGTTTATTTTTTCAAAATGGTAAATGTACAGAATATCGGAAAGTTAACGGCTATCGGCCTGAAAGTTCAGATTATCGGCTCTAAAAAATCAATATCGGTCGATCCCTAATACGGTACCATGAGCTTGCCTCCATAGCCACGCACCCTCATGCCAGAGACTTCGTTATCAGTGTACGCACACTCAGTCCCAACAACATTGAGTGAACTGGTTTTAATTCACAACCTGGCTGCAGACAGTGAAAGAAACTGCAAACATCTAGTAATATACTCACTATATGCCTGTCTGGGTGCCCTCTCCTTCTAACGCAGGTTGTTTTGTTATTCAGATCATTCAGTGCTTTCAGTGGCTGAGCCGTGTGCATACATTTTAAGGAAGACTTTCTGCAGTTAGTGGGTGTGGATAAAGGCTTATGAAGCAGCATTCTGAAAAAAATGTATTGATGCTTACAGCCTAGAGAGAGTGTGTATCTATATTTTCCTCTTCACCCGTATGCTTGTATACTGAAATTAAATCAAAATAGATTCAGGTTGGTGCCTAAATTCTTCACGTATATGTAAACTTTTCTTTTAATCCAACTTAAAGGGAAACTCCAGTGCCAGGAAAACAATCCGTTTTCCTGGCACTGCAGGTCCCCTCTCCCTCCCAATCCCGGTTGCTGAAGGGGTGAAAACCCCCTTCAGTCACTTACCAGAGGCAGCGACATGTCCCACGTCGCTGCTTCTTGGTCCGCCGCCGCTCCTCCTCTGCATTACATCGGCCGGTGGGCGAGACTGATCCCGCCCACCAGCCAGGGAGACATAATGCGCATGAGCGGCAATGCCGCGCATGCGCATTAGAGTTCCCCCAAAGGAAAGCATTGAAAATGCTTTTCAATGCTTTCCTATGGGGAATTGAGCGACGCTGGAGGTCCTCACACAGCGTGAGGATGTCCAGCTACGCTCTAGCACAGATTTTATGTGCCATAATCCAGGAAGTGCCCTCTAGTGGCTGTCTAGTAGAAAAAAACTGCAATAATTACACTTGCAGGGTTAAGGGTAGTGGGAGTTGGCACCCAGACCACTCCAATGGGCAGAAGTGGTCTGGGTGCCTGGAGTGTCCCTTTAAGCTGAATTGTTCCCACTTCAGTTTTTTCATAAAGATGCATTTAATCAAAGGATGGTTCCTAGCAATGGATTGCATTGCACGATTACCATATGTCCAGGATATTACAAGTAAAATATGAAGAGAAAGGTCTTTCAGTATGCTGTAAATGAGCGTGTGATATTGGTCAAACCCTGCAGTTTTGTATGTATGACTTAATTGTCTTGTTTCCAGAGCCCGTACAGGACAGTTCTTAGAGAGAATGCAATCCCAACAATATTTGACCTCACTAGCCATCTTGGTAACCCTGGTAGACTGCGGAAGAGGATAAAAGAGCTGGTAAGTCACTCGCTTTTGTCTAGCACCTGATATCACACAAAGAGATTTGATTAGTCGATTACCTTTATCTGTACTGGGACAATTGAAACTGATGTGCTTATGTTATCATATTGGTTAACATGTACTTTAGTGTATGGTCTTTCTTGCAAGAAACTATTTTGCAGATTTTTAATTAACCCCTCTGTAAGTTCATTGTGGGGTGTTTGTGTTTTTTTTTTTGTTTTTTTTTAACTTTCCTATGGATTTTTGGGTGACACTGGATGTCCTCATGCAGAGCGTGAAAAAGTCGCCCACCTACCTGGAAGTACCTTTAGTAGCTGCCTGGTTGAGGCCAGTAGAGATGGAGTTACCCCTTTTTATTAAAAAAACAAAAACAAAACTGCAATAATTACCACTGCAGGGTTAAGGACCCTGTGACACTGAACCCAGGCAACTTCAGTGAGGTCAAGTGATCTGGGTGCTTACAGTGTCCCTTTAAATATTTTCCTTTTTATTTCCCCCAGCCCCCACTGTGTTTTGGAGACTGATATCTACATTTCCATTTCTCTATTTACCTAGAGTGAAGAAGAAATAAGGACATTAAAGCAAAGAAAACGTAAGTGTCTCACACATGGTGTTTAAGCTGTTTAAAAGTAAAATTAAAATTTTTGTTGGTGAGATTGGGAGGGAAAACAAGTAGCAATCTATTGTATCCTTGTTATGTACAATAATATATTAATATAAGCAGAATTAAAGAAAACCTGATACTCAACCAGGTTTTAGCTGATCCCCTCTTTTAATGCGGTGTTCTTGGTTGATAATCCCTATAAATGAAGTTCTTGATGTCTTCACATCCAATGACAGAATAATTCCATGATAAAAGCCATTCTTTTAAAGGTCCTGTGAGAAAATGCATTAAAATTCCCCACTCATTTAACAGTGATGGTGGTAGTGTTGCAGACTCCAAATAAGCCGGACATTAAGTTCTCTTTGGGCTGCATTGCCGATTGTGATGACAATATAAAATATCTTTCAATGGTAAAACTCCAGCTTACACTCCATGTGATGGTGGCCAATATATTCATTCAGTCATATCCCTATCCTTTTGTCACATGGTGCCAGACAGCTGCATTTATGTAGTTTGACAAACGTCCAGTCCAAAGGAACAAGCCAAGATATTATTTCTGTTGCATAACACCTTTGTAGAAGTTTGTATTGAACTCTTTGATTTGCTCTGTCGGTTTCCTACATTTCAAAAATCTTCGCCAACTGCTGTATGTGTTTATAGTGTTCCATTCAGATAGAGCCAGCACTTGGATATAGCAGATATTATCAGACGCGTGAATCACTTCATTAGGAAGAACTGTTTGATCTTTCCGGTTCTGTGATGTGAGCAATAACCTGCCAGTGCTTCACAAAGCTGCCTGTAACTATACTGTGGAGTTATGTTACACATATCAATCTGCTCCATATTGATCATGTGCCACTACGTTCATTTGCATCCAATGGCTTTCTGCAGGGGCACATTATGTCATTGGTGGCCATACTGTGTGACAGAGGTCAGTGGATTTAATTACTTTACCTCCACTACACGTGTCATGGAAAAAAAATACACTTTATACTCACAAATATTAAGAAATAAATATAAAAATAATGTGGTGCTTACGCTATAAAAGCTGTCTGTCTATTGGTCCATACCGATCCCCTGTGACCCTATCCAGCATTTTTGCATACTGGCACAAAAGCCACTAAGAGGCAGTTAGCAAAGTAGTGTGCATGGGTTTTCTTTTTTTTAATACATTAATTTGTATCATACTGTGGTGATTGTAATTTTTAATGCGTATAATTTGTGGAATTTTTTTTTTTTTTTTTTTTTTGCAATTAGTTGACGGAGAGGTTGCAGAGGATCACAAATCCAATAACAATGTGGATGTTCAAGTTGTAGAAATAGGAGAAAACCACTACCCAATTTTAACAGCAGAGGAAAAGGAAAATCGAGATTACCTGAAATCTCTATTTGAAATCTTGATAATAATGGGAAAGCAGAATATACCTTTGGAATGCCAAAGTGCTGAAGTACCTCCAGGAATTTTCACTCCTGACAACTTCCAAGCTCTCCTGGAATGTAGAATTAATTCTGGGGATGAGGTCCTGAGGAAACGTTTTGAGATGACTGCAGTGAATTTGGAATACTGTTCTCAAAAGCAGCAGAAACAGATGATGGAAATCTGTGAAAGCTGCATAAGAGAAGAAGTTCTCCGAGAGGTTCGAGATGCCCGTTTCTTCTCCATACTTACAGATGATGCAGTCCTTTTTGCAAGTGGAGAACATTTACCTGTATTTGTTCGCTTTGTAGATGATGCAAACAATCTCAGAGAAGAATTTCTAGGATTCCTGAGTTGTGAAGCTGAAGCAGAGCTATTCGCTGCCAATTTTCTCACCACCATCACAGAAAAATGGGGTCTGAGTATGGAATACTGCCGTGGGCAAACTTACATCACATCAGGTGGACTTTCTACCAAAATGAAATGTGTAGCATCACAATTGTTAGAAAAATACCCACAAGCTATTTATACTCTGGCATCTTCATGTGCCCTAAATATATGGTTGGCAAAATCGACACCTGTAACTGGAGTGTCTGTTGTTTTGGGTACACTGGAAGATCTATATTTATTTTTTAAGAAAAACCCAATTTTGCAGGAAGAGCTAGACTATACGATAAGTGTACTGTTTCTTGAAAATGAGGAAAAGGGAGCAGAACTTAAGGAAGTAGTCAGATCAGAGTGGATAAGCAGGCATGACACTTTTGAGATTATGGTGAGCCTTCTTGAGTCATTTATTCTCTGTCTAGACAAAATTGACTGTGATGCCTCTTTTAGATGTAATGCAGGGATAATCAGCCATGCATTTGTCCTCTCAAGTGCCTTGAGTGACTTTGACTTCATTGTTACTATAGTCATCTTAAAAAATGCCCTCTCATTCACCAGAGCTTTTGGAAAAAATTTACAAGGGCAGACCTCTGATGTTTTCGCTGCAGCCAACAGCCTGACCGCTGTTTTGCACACTTTGAATGAAGTAATGGAAAATATTGAAGTCTACCATGAATTTTGGTTTGAGGAAGCTACAAACCTGGCTACCAAGCTTGACATCTCGATTAAACTCCCTGGCCGGTTCCGTCGAATGCAGCATGCCAACTTACAGCCAGATCTAACACCTGAAAGCTTTTATAAAGAGGCTCTCAGTATTCCAACTATTCAGCACATCATTCAAGGACTGAAAGATATTTTCTCAGAACAGCATTTAAAAGCTCTCAAATGCTTGTCCCTCGTTCCATCTGTGATGGGCCAATTAAAGTTCAGCACCAGCGAAGAACACAATACAGACATATACAAAGGTGACCTCCCCAATCCGGACACGCTGTCTGCAGAACTGCATTGCTGGCGTGTAAAATGGAAACACCGAGGCAAAGACGTGGAGCTTCCGTCAAACATCTACGAGTCGATCCGGTTGTCTGATATTAAATTCTTCCCCAATGTTTATGCTCTTCTTAAAGTTTTATGTCTTCTCCCTGTGATAAAAATCGTAGAGGACAAATATGAAATAGGTCGAAGGCGTTTAAAAGCTTACTTAGAAAATACATCCACCAAACAGAGGTCGAGCCACCTGGCTTTGTTAAACATTAACTTCGATGCAAAGCATGATCTGGACTTTATGGTGGATACGTTCATTCCGGTATATGCGGAAAAGACTGGAACGGAGGAGGCTGCTGATAGATCAGAGATGCCCAAAGAGTAATTTCTCTCTCAAATTTGGATATTTGTCCAATACACAGTTTAATTTAAGCAAACCTATATATTTTATAATTTTTCTTCAATCACGCATAAAACTGCTACAGTTCTTGCTACACAAAATTGAACACGATGGCACTTTCCATTCAATGTATTTGTACCTATACATTCTGCTAGAGAACGTGCCGCAAAATGTGTAGAGAATGTACACTTTTAGATGAATATTTTTGAATCTCTGGGATACTTACATTATGGAATACTAACTTAAATATTTACCAGACAATGACATCGTCATCTATGCATTTTGTTGATAGCTTGTTCACATTGAGACAGTTGGATATCTCTAGTTATAGATTTGTACAATGCACACGTGTTCACTTGCATGTTATGGTTTTTGAGAGAGGTAGGAGGGGGCGGTTAGAGGGAGTCATGGCACTGTAAATAAATGTATACTAAATAAATTTGATTCATGCACTCAAATCTGCCATGCATGTGTTTAGAGATGATTGCCCCATGAATATGGTATATTTTACTTATTCTATGGGGAAAAAAAAAAAATCTTTACTACATGATGTAATGTAAACCCTTTTTTTTTTTTTTGTTATAAATGTATTTCTTACAGGAACAGATTTAAGATTTTGTTAAATGGGAAGTCATACAATGTACAGGTTAATTTCTTGTTTGTATTTTTATACTGACAGTTTTTTGTTAAATGTATAATAAAGTGCATTTTTTTTTATTTTTTTATTTTTTTTGTAATATTTTAACTCCCACTCCAATATTCATTCTTCATAAGACATCTATTTAAGTAATGAGGTTTTAGGTTAGTTAGGAGCAGTCTATGATATTTAACTTGTTTCTACAAAATGTTTTTTTAACTAATCTTATAACAGGAGGTTAATAGGTAAAATGCAACTGTATAACGTAAACAAAGCCAAAATTTTTTTTCATATAGTCTACCCCAGTGGTTCACAAACTTTTTAGGTTCAAGGCGCCCTTTAATATTTCAATATTTTTCTAGGTTGTATATATGTACAGCGGTGTGGTATACTGGGCCCTTGTTCGGCCCAGTGTGGATGTAGTGTGTGTTTGTATGGGCGGAGTTATTGTGTGGTCTGTGGGGGTAGGAGGGCAGATTCATAAATACTTCATTTTATTTTTTAATTAAAAATAATTTTGATATATCTCCTTCTTCCCCCTAACCCCGCCTCCTGCTTACCTTTACCTGGAAGGGGGGACAGTACTAATCTCTGGTGGTTCAAGTCGAGACAGTGAACGCTTGCAACTTCAACGCTCTGAGCTCGCAAGAGGAGAACCTGGCGGAGCTACAGGTTAGAGCTCCCCGAGGCCTGTCTGCCTCCCTCGTCTGCTGCCAGCATTTCACTGCTAGTGGTGTCGCCGGCACACAGTTTTAGGACTACTGGGCTACCCATTCCTTAAGCATACACTTTATCTTTTGATACTATGACAGTTTTTAGTTGTTTGAACATTACAGTTTCAATGTTAACTGGGTAGTGACCTGCTAGCTTAGTAGTTTTTATCTGTACGGAAATATTTGTATCATGCAAAGACTGTAAGTGTGTACATATGGGTGTCTATATCTCAATGGATGCAAAGGTACCCATTTCTGTTCATTGGAGATTTTGTTGGTGAACAGATAATTTGCATTATACTTGTAACGTATGCACAGTAAGACACAAAAGCAGAATATGAAATAGCTTGAGAGTGTGTGTGTGTGTTTGTTACCAAAGAAAGTAGATAGTTTACCTTGCAGTTTAGAGACTGCTGGCAGAGCTCTTTATCAGTCCTGTGCAGTTTAATCAGTCATCATGACCAATCCTTCCTTTACGTAGCTCTACTGTATTCTCTAAAAGCGGTTTCTGTCTCTGGGCAGTGTCTTAGAACTTTCCAAGTAGACATTAAGATACCAGGTAGGAGAAGAGGGTAAACTGCTGTAGGTAAACTGGAAAGCTATGAACTAAATGCTGGGATATATGGTAAGTTATTCACTAAACAGAGTTTGCTATGCAAAATACAATCATGTTTGTTATAAGCAATCCCCTTCCTCTAAAGTTCCTCTAACTTTCTCTTAAGTTGCTATTACCCCCAACTGGAACCACGTTGAGCTGAAGGTGTCCTGGCTCTTTTCAAATGGCAGTAGTAAGACTAAAATCAATCACAAAAAATTAGAAACTACTTCCCTTGGATGCAGCTCTTTAATACATATTTAAGGTATTCTAGTATAACATTTCGAACAGCATTTCCAGGGGCCCTTTCGTATTAGCCGGCTGCCCAGCTTCATAGAGTTGCTGCCGTGCAGTAACTCTGTAGTAGAAATGAACTAGAGACTGCAGCGCAGAGAGGGAGCACCATGGGCAGAGGAGAGGTCGGAGTGAGCATGCAGCAGCTCACTCCCATCAGCCTCAGCCAACACCAGGACCACAAGATAAGTTAACAGGAGGGTGGCTCTGATGTATGTCAGATTGTGTGTGTGTGTATTCATCTGCCAATGTGTAATACGACTGTGTGTGTATTTGTCACTGTGTGCATGTGCTAGTATCTGTGTCTGTGTGTATCTGTATGTCAAGCTGTGTGTATATGTTTGTGCGATTGTGTGTCAAGGTTTGTGTATGTGTGTCAAAGTCTGTGTGTATATGAATGTGTGTATGTACGTGGCAGTACATCCCAGCAAACACTCCTGCAACCACAAAAAAACCCTATATTCAAATTTATATAGAAACACAAACACTAATACTACACCTAAATGTACATCCTCAGTTAAAAGCCAACACTACATCCAGGCACCCCTGCACCCAAAAACCCCTGTATTAAAACGCTAACATTACATCCAAACATACCCCTGTATTAAAACGCTAACATTACATCCAAACATACCCCTGTATTAAAACGCTAACATTACATACAAACACACACCTGTATTAAAACGCTAACATTACATCCAAACATACCCCTGTATTAAAACGCTAACATTACATCCAAACATACCCCTGTATTAAAACGCTAACATTACATACAAACACACACCTGGTCACACAGAAGCACACCTACTCCTAAATACTACTATATGTTTACTATCTGCGCTATGGTGCCAAACATTTTTTGGTGTTCCATGTTGTTAGCGCATTATGTCAAAGGGTTCCACGGAAAAAATAAATTGGGAACCCCTGATCTAGAATCTATGGTACATCAGACCCTTATTCAACTGCTACCATACGGAGGTTGGATTCTAAAGCAAAATATTAAAGGGTTTCTCCAACCAAAAACTGGGGTTTTCATAAAACTCCTGTGTTTGGTTGTAGTAATCCTTGCTGGCACAGTCCCCACTATTAAAAAAAACACTTATTTTTATATATATAAAAGTACTATGACCATTTCAAATCACTTGAGGTTTTGGTTTTTGTAAATTTGTATCAGTACTGGAGTGTCCCTTTTATAGATGAGAATTATTGTTGGTTGAGAAGCAGTCATGTAGCAACTTAGGTAGCCAATCTGGAAAATTGGTTGGATAAAAACTGTGTAGCCCATTCTTATTGAATGAGACATTGTCATGTTCTACATTCAAACCTTACTTTAAACTGGTTATGCAGTAACCCCTGTCTTTAACAGACGGTCCCACAATGGGCATGCATTCCACTGGTGGTCAGACTATACGTGAAACTGACCTGGTTGACATTTCAGAACTCTGTTCCCAGATATTTCTTACATTTTATATTCGGGACAATCTCCATAGAAGGCGTCCTCATTATTCACAGTTCATTTCATTTGATACCCACAAACGTCAAGTGTGTTCTATATTTTCCATCCATGGTGCATTGCACTGATGATATAAAAGAAATTGGCAGTGAGATTCTATAGTTGGTTTAATAGCATTTCCAGGATCTGACTTGATGGTGAAATTGTTCCATAAAGTAGTCATTTACTGAAATGGGCATTGGTCATAGCCTAATACGTTCTATTCTATTTCACAAGCTACACACAGACACATATAAATTATTCAGCAAGTCGGTGCAGGTGGTCTTTTTTTTTTTTCCCCTCTCATGGTTTTCAGTTAAATTCCTTCTGAGATTCTAGCATTAAAACATATGGGTATTTTAAAGAAATGTGCAGCAATTCTGAAATTCTACTGAAAGATTTATAGTATTCCTCTTGTATTTATCAGATACTCAAACTATGTTGATGAAATACTTTTTCCCTTTAGGATTATATGAATCTCCGAATCCAGTGCTCATAAGGTTCATATTCTACAAAATTGTCTATTGAAACGTCTGCCAGGGTTATTTACAAAAGTAACCATTCAAAGCACATACAATTTGACCTTAATTTCAATTTCATTTTGAATTCTCACTTTAATGAAGAATCCCAGGAAAGTTTCCTTGGGGGTTTACAAATCCCATACGTCTATTAAAATGTGTCACCTTTCTTCTTTGTATGTGCTGTCAAGTTTTGGAGCCTCCACAATTTTGTGAATATTATATGTAGACTGTTTCTCTTTCAAGTAAAAAATAAGGGACGTTCCAGGATGCCAAAATACTTTTCTGGCATACTTTTCTCCTCTCTGTCTGCTCTCTCTGTGCAAAAGACAGAGCTTATACCAGTGATTGACATGAAACCAAGATGAAGTTCCAGGGTACAGCAGACATCCCAACATCAAAACCTAATTTCAGGAAGGTGGCCTCACCAGCTACTGGTCAATGCTACCGCCGCCTCCAGTCCCCTCCCTTCCGCATGTGAAGCTAGGAGGAAGTGATCAGCCGTCACTTCCTCTCAGCCAGCTGATACTAAATACTACAGGGGCCTCGTCGTCCTCTTAAAGGGCTGCGGTGCCTGTCTGGTCCCCTGTTTAGAGATAAATAATACCTTTTGGGTGACCCGCAAATCATGTAATATCCTGGAAATCACACACTCAGTCTGACATAGTATGTCATATTGTACATGTGATTTCTGGGATATTGTATATGATTTGCAGGTGTCAGGGAGACTTGGGATGTCTGTTACAGCAGTGTGGATTTCTACTTTTGATTTTCAGATTTCACAAACATTTTTATTATGGACACTAAGTACATAGCATTAAAAATCCTGGATTTAAACCCCAGCAAACCCTTCTGTCGGTTGAGCTGTTCCAGCCTATTGCATTGCCAAACAGGGCCGGACTGGGGAAAAAATTCAGCCCGGGCATTTTTAATTACAGCGGCCCACTGAAAAGGGGGCGGGGCCAGATAGGGTGTGTTTTGTCATCCCCAATGACAAGCACGCCCCATCTCAAAGTGAGCATGTTGGTTCAATGCTCTTCCAGGGCATGAGAAAAGGGCCCTGTATTTGATCTGCACAGCGCAAGCAAATTTAATAACATGCTTGCATTGTGTTTGCTTGAAACTTGTCTCAGGGGTTTCCATAATTGGAATACTCACTGTATCCCATTTATGGAGACACTATGTGTTTGCTTAAAGGATATCTAGTGTGTTCATAGGGGATCCTGAGTGTGTATGTCAGAAATGTAGTGTGTGTGTAAGTGGTGCAGCGTCTGTGTGTAGGGGATCTAGTGTGTGTTTGAAGGACTCAGGAGTGCGTATAGGAGATCTAGTGAGTGTGTGAGTGTGTGACTGGTGCAGTGTGTTTGGGGGGTGCTGTGTGTGTGAGGGGTGTAGTGTGCATTTGTGAGGAGTATAGTGTGTGTGGGAGGGTGCAGTATGTGTGTGGGAGGGTGCTG